ACCCCAATCCTTCCCCTCCCTCCCCCATCCCCCAAAAAGTGTCTCTGGTTCATAGTTTTTTGTTGATTTTGATTTTCACTTTCTTATATTCATTTTCCTGGTCCCTTATTTAAGTTTTCTAGATTCCTGCTATGAGTGAGACCATCAGGTATTTTTCTTTTTCTTTTTGGCTTATTTCGCTGAGCATGATCCCTTCTAGCGCCATCCATGTTGCTGCAAATTGCATGTGTTTATCTTTTTTGAATGCTGAGTAATATTCCATGGTATATATGTACCACATCTTCTTGATCCAGTCATCTATTTTTGGGCATTTGGGTTGTTTCCAAAGCTTAGCTATTGTAAACAGTGCTGCTATAAACATAGGGGTGCAGGTGCTCTTTGGAATTGATGTTTCTGTGTCCTTTGGGTAAATACCTAGGAGTGGAATTGCTGGATCATATGGAAGCTCTATGTTTAGTAGGTCCAGAAATCTCCACACAGCTCTCCATAGTGGTTGGACCAGTTTGCACTCCCACCAACAGTGCAGGAGAGTTCCTTTTTCTCCACATCCTCGCCAACATTTGTTGTTGCTAGTTTTTTTAATATGTGCCATTCTCACTGGTGTAAGATGGTATCTCATGGTAGTTTTGATTTGCATTTCCCTGATTACAAGTGATGTTGAACATTTTTTCATATGCCTGTTGGCCATTTGCATTTCCTCTTCAGAGAAGTTTCTTTTTAGCTCTTCTGCCCATTTTTTGACTGGATTATTTTCTTTGTTGTTGCTGAGTCTCATCAGCTCTTTGCAGATTTTTGTGATCAGTCCTTTATCATTAGTGTTGGGTGCAAAAATGTTCTCCCAGTTGGCGGGGTTTCTCTTTGTTTTTGTTATTGTCTCTTTTGCTGTGCAGAAGCTCTTTAATTTGATGTAGTCCCAGCTGTTTATCTTTCTCTTCACTATCACTGCTTTGGGTGATGTGTCTGTAAAGATGTCTTTGATGTGCAAATCCCGTAGTGTTTCGCCTATATTTCCTTCTATGTATTTTATGGTTTCAGGTCTTATGTCTAGTTCTTTAATCCATTTTGAGTTGATTTTTGTGTATGGTGTGAGGTAGTGGTCAAGCTTCATTCTTTTGCATGTAGCGACCCAGTTTTCCCAGCACCATTTATTGAACAAACTTTCTTTGCTCCAATGCATAGTCTTTGCTCCTTTGTCAAAGATTAGTTGACCATAAATCTGTGGGTTTATTTCTGGATTTTCTATTCGATTCCATTGGTCTGCATGTCTGTTCTTGTTCCAATACCATGCAGTTTTGATGATTATGGCTTTGTAGTATAGTTTGAAGTCTGGGCGTGTGATGCCTCCATTTCCTTCTTTTTTTTTCAGTAGAGCTTTGGCTATTCGGGGTTTTTGGTGATTCCATATGAATTTCATCAATAATTGTTCTATTTCTTTGAAGAATGCCATTGAGATTTTGATTGGAATAGCATTGAATCTGTATATTGCTTTTGGTAGGATGGCCATTTTAATAATGTTTATTCTTCCAGTCCATGAGCAGGGGATGTCTTTCCATTTCTTTGTGTCTTCTTCTATTTCTTTTAACAGTGTTTTATAGTTTTCTTTGTATAGGTCCTTTACCTCTTTTGTTAGATTTATTCCCAAATATTTGATTTTTTTTTTCGATAATAAAAGGGGTGGTTTTTTTGATTTCTTCTTCTTCAGATTTATTGTTTGTGTATAGGAAGGCTACTGACTTTTGCGTGTTGATTTTGTATCCTGCCACTTTACTGAATTGATTGATGAGTTGAATTAGTTTTTCTGTGGAGATTTTGGGGTTCTCTATGTATATTATCATATCATCTGCAAATAGTGATAGTTTGACTTCTTCTTTTCCTATTTGGATTCCTTGGATGTCTTTCTCTTGTCTTATTGCTCTGGCTAGGACTTCCAGTATTATATTGAAAAGCAGTGGTGAGAGTGGACATCCTTGTCTTGTTCCAGATCTTAATGGAATTGCTTTCAGCTTTTCACCATTGAGAATGATACTGGCTGTTGGCTTGTCATAGATGGCCTTTATGATGTTGAGGTATGTTCCTTGTATCCCAAGAATTTCAAGGGCTTTTATCATGAATGGGTGTTGCACTTTGCTTTCATAAACTTTTTTGGAATAAAACTGTTCAAAATATTTCTTGATAGTTTAAAAATATGGAAATATTTTTAGTCCTGTTTAGTGATGACCCTATGTATAATAGTACAAAAGGAATGCCAGGTATAAATGTTCCTCATTGCTTGCACATTGATAGAAACACAGTATTATCAACAAAAAAGAGGAAGAAGTTACTGTATTCATAAGTTTAGGCAGTTGACAATCTGTGTAGATATGGCTACTTTCTAAATAAGAGCCTGCAAAACACGCAGAGAATAAAATAGAAGCAATGAAGGGGTTTAATGGACTACTATTCCATAGAACATAGAAAGACACCAGACCAGAAGTAGAAACAGATCCAAAATGATGAGGATTTCATCTGCTCTCAAAAACTACTGAATAGCTCCCACGTTTGAGGCACTATGCTGATGTTTAGAACATATAAAAAATACCTCATTTGCACTGATTTTTTAATCATGTTAGGGAAAACTGGGTAAAAAGGAAGGCAAATAAGAAGGGCATTGGAGTCTGTTAAATGTGGTCTGAAGGAGCAGTGGATACATTGGAAAGTAGAGGGAACCAGGATATATTTGTATAAAGTAAAGGACAAGCTGAAACAGTGGGTTCAGTGAGAAGAGTGGTTAATAAAAAAGAATTAAGGATTATTTAACAATATGACAGAGCCACTGGGTAGGTACAAAAGCTGAGACTAGAAATTAGCCCAAATTCTGGAGGGGGTAGAGACTAAAGACTAAAGGCCAGCCACGGGTCAACATGTGACTGAACTCCAGTAAAAACTCTGGCCACCAATGCTCAAGAGAGCACCCCTGATTGACTAAACTGTGTGTATTGTCATACATCATGGTGTGGGGTGGTAACACCATTCATGAGTACAGAAGCTCCATATGTGGACACTTCTCAGTCTCCACTTTACCCAAGAATTCCACTCCTGGGTAGATAAGTCGAGAAAAATGAACACATATGACCAGGAAAAGTGGAAATAATCCAATGTCTCTCAATAGATGAAAGATCAAATGAAATCTGGTGCATCTATACAAAGGAGTATTATTTGGCAATCAAAAGGAATGAATGACTATACATGTGAAAACACAGAAGAATGTCAAGAACACGCTAACTCAAAGAAGTCAAACATAAAATAGTATATATCTGATGATTCTATTTACAGGAAATATCCAAAATGGGTGTCTAAAGAAAGCAAATTAGTGATTGCCTAGGACTGGGGGCTTGGGAGGAAATGTTATTTTAAGGGTTGATGTGATGAAAACTGTCCAAAGTCAATTGTGGTGCTGGATACAGAGTTGTTACTACACTGCCAAGCACTGACTTGTATGCTTTGTGTTGGCCAACTGGAGGGTATATAAATGATCTCAATAAGGCTGTTCAAAAAATAAGAATGCAAGAACAAATACAATATGACTTGAATCAAAGAAGAATCAGAAACGTTAAGTGCATGAAGGAAGTAAAGAGAGGTAGGTGTGTGATGACCCTGTCTGGGCTAGAATTGATAGAGGGTGTAGAACAGTCTTTTCTAATGAATCAGTCAAGACACAGCAGAGACCTTGCAGAGGGTTACACCATAGGTGTGAACACTTGAGATGATAAGCATGGACAGGATGAGGTGGACTGTAGTGAAGGAAATCAAATGGGGGACAGGTTTTCTTGTTGGGGGAGAGGAGGACAATTCCTATTCCTTACACAAGAAATCATGTCAGAAGCCAGTTGCCACATTAGGCCATATTAGGGGAGATATTGATTTGGAGTCTCATCTAGAGAACAGAAAGAGCTAAAGGAAAGTTTTGGGGATTAAGAATACAGGAAAGAGGGCCTCCCTGGTGGTGCAGCGGTTGAGCGCTGGGTTGCAAAGCTGACTGCAGCCTCTGCAGCACCGATTTGATCCCCAGCTATTCCCCGGCCACCGGAGGAGGGTCCCACATGGCACGCAGTCCTCTCCTGCCACCCGCTGCTCCCCTCAGCAGTGTACTTCGGTCCTTATGCCTGCTCTGCTCCCTGCTCTGGCTCTGGTGAATTCTCTCACCCTCCTGTGCTTCTGACTGTACCCAGTGCTTGTATAAACAAACAAACAAACAAACAAACAAACAAATAAATAAATAAATCTTAAAAAAAAAAAGAATACAGGAAAGAAAATGGAAAATGAAGCCACTGAAGAATCTCAGAGTGAGGGGAACAAAGAAACAAAGGAAAAGGATTAACACCCGGGAGGAGCCTAGGCTGCTGTGAGGGGCTGCACAGAAGGCAGGGGAAGCCAGGATTTCCCTGTGAGGAGAACGCAGTCATCAGAAAAGAGTGATGAGTCCCATGATTCTCTGGAATGAGGCCTGGATGGTCAAAGGAAGTGGGCAACCCTGTAGCAGGTTCAGAGGAAGGGGTGCTGTGGAGGCCCAGGAAGAAAAAGAGGGCAACAAAGGAACTAAAGTCGAGAAAACAGATAAAATAAGCCGACTGAGGTCTCTGGAGAGAACATGAGGTTATATTTTCCTCTAAAGACTTAGAAGGAAAGTTTTACTAAGGGAAGTGGGACCCGCTGTTTACCTCACTTGCTCTCACAGCCTCTCACTGACTAGAATCTGAGTTCCTAAGTTGGACAGAAGTCTGAGTACCTGGGGTACTGGCCTCTGAAGTGAGGGCAGTGCTGTGACCCTGAGCCCAGAAGCCCGGGGAGTCCTATGTGGGCAAAATGAACTGGATCCAGAGCACCCCAACAGCCCCCAGGGAGCTGGAGTACTGGCAGCTGGGGTAGAAACCCCCACATCGGTGTGGGTGCGGTACCAGTGCAAACAGTGTGTGTCCCGGACACTCTTTACCCAGAGGAAGCACAGGAACCCAGACCTCTCCATGCAGAGCACCCCAGTGGCTTCCAAGTGTGAGCAGCTAAGCAGGAAAGGCCCTGCCAGTCCTCGGGCCATGACTCGTCCTCACCCATATGGACACCAGGTGGCTGTAGGTCTCCAGCATCACCTCCTGGTACAGGGCCTTCTTCGTGGGGGCCAGGAGCTCCCACTCCTCCCAGGTGAAGTGCACAGCCACGTCGGCAAAGGTCAGCGGGGCCTATCACAGAGAGTCCTGGTTAGCGAGAGCTGCTCTTTCACTGCTTCTTAATGGTACAAAGGAAGTTGTCAAGCTCTGACCAGCCACAGCCTGACTGGCTCCCAGTGTGGATTTTCCCATAAATACACATAGTTTTTAACACTCCCCCAAGCAGCTCCTGTGTCCTACGAGTCACCTCAACTCTGACACTGTCTACCCTGAAGTGTAAATATGAGACAACTGAAGGGAAAAGAAAAACTGTTGAGGATTGGGCTGAGATCGGTGGCTGCTGGCAGACTCTGCCCTTGACCTTTAGATCCCAGACACGCTGGGAGCCTAAAGTCAACAAGAGAATTGCACACCAAGTGCACTTCTGGGAGTCTTCACAAACACAGCAAGGACAGATTAAGGGAGTGGCCTGTGCCATCTCCTCCACAGGGCTGGCCTCTCTGAAGAGGCTGGAGGCTGAGGGTATAGTGCAATGGAGTGTCCCATCTGGAAGACCTGAGGCTAGAACAGCCCAGTGGGGAGCAGCTTAGAGACAGTGTGGCTGGTGACCTCCTTACACCTCTGTTTTCCAGCAGGATCATAGGAGGTCCTCAAACAAGGCACTTTCTGGAGAAAAATTCAGGCAGAGGTAAGGCTAGTCCTGTGAGTGACCTTGCTCTGGTGCCCTGAAAAAATTTTGTCTGCTGAGTTTGTGTGGTCTGCTTCCCAGGGGTGGGGGGTGTCTATGAGGAACCCTGTCAGAAGAGAGGTAGAAAACCGGCCTCTGCTTGGATTTGGAGACCACGGATCCAGGCACTGCCCACCACTGCACCAAACTGCCAGGAAACCCTGACATCCTGTGAGGGCGGGCCTGCCTTCTCACGGCCACTGCACATCACATATACCATATGGAGCACATCACTGTACGTCATGTATACACACACACACAGCACATCACACATAGCCTAGAGCATGAGCCACTTGCTATCATGGATTTCAGACACAAGCTGACACCAGAGGCCACCTCTGTCAACCCAGAGGTGCCTTCAGCTACCCATGATGAATCCACATTAGCCACTTTCTAGGAGTAACATGAATCTTACATCCTGGATTCCACTTTGGATGAGGTTGGCTTTAGATTCCACATTTGGGGCCTCCCTGGTGGCGCAAGGGTTATTCTAAACACTAAGAAGCTAAAGGCAGCCACCATGACCTGAGTTTGATCCCTGGCCAGGGAGCTGGCCCACATGGTGCAGCAGACCTCTCCTGTCTCCCCTCTGTTCTCCTCGGCAATGTATTTCAGTCAATCCACCTATTCTACTCCAGCTCTTGTATGCATAAATAAATAAAATAAATCTGTTAAAAAGTTAAGGAAAAAAAAAGAAAAGAGGGCCTCCCTGGTGATGCAAGGGGTTAAGCACCACACTATGAAGCAATCCACAGCCCGTGCAGCATGGGTTTGATCCCCGGCCGGCCAGGGAGCAACCCACATGGCACAGAAGACCTCTCCTGTCTCACCTGCTGCTCCCCTCAGCAGTATGTTTTAGTCAGTCTGCCTGTTCTGTTCCCCGCTCTGTCTCTGGTGAATCCTCTCACCCTCCCGAACATCTAGCCTGTACCCTGGTTCTTGTACACATGAATAAATAAATCTTTAAAAAAAAAAGAACCAGGGTACAGGCCAGAGGGTGGTGGTGGTGGTGAGAGGATTCACCAGAGACAGAGTAGGGAACAGAACAGGCAGATTGACTGAAATACACTGCTGAGGGGAGCAGCAGGCAAGTCAGGAGAGGTCTGCTGCACCATGTGGGTAACTCCTGGCTGGGGATTGAACTGATGCTGCAGTGGCTGCAGACAGTCTCATAGGTTGCATCTTAACCCCTGTGCCACCAGGGAGGCCCCTGTTTTTTGTTTTGTTTTTTAACAGGCCTCTACAATTAGGGAATAAAGGAGAGAACAGAACAAAAATTACCTTTTGGGTATGGATCATTTTCTTCTGTGTTGGGAAATGACCACCAAATGGGGTATTCTGCCTTTGTCGCTGCTGAATGTACCCTAAATTTGCAGTTAGGATTCTCAGCTGTCAGTTGAAAGTGTCTCCATAAATGACAACCTCTCGGTCCAATGGCCATTTCCTTCTTCACTTACTTTTTGTCTCCAGCCAGGACCTGGGGAGTAGAGAGCAAAACTACTTTCAGGGTTCTACTCCCTCTGGCTGTGTACTCACCTAAACACATGGTTCCAGTTTTTCTGTCTCTCTTTTTTTTTTTTTTGGTTCCCCAAGGATATCACACCTCTGTCCAGTCTCACAGAAGATCCTGGCTATGTGGAAGGGGCATGAATGGAAAAGGGAAAATCACAAAGGAGAATCAGAACAGAACTAACCTCAGCTGCAGGGAATTTTCAAAACTATTAGAGAAATGAGAACATATGGATGGGTGAAGGTCTGTACGTTTTTCCTTTAAATTATGTTAGAAATCTTAAATCTTTATATACCCTGTTTATATACAAACTTCAATATGAAGAATCATGAGCACACCAGAGAGAGAGCGAGAGAGAAGGAATATGAGCTATAAATACAAAATTTAGAAAAAAACTCAAAATCATAAATACTGGGAAAACAGCAGCCTTTCCATACTCATATATAGAACCTGAAAGGAAATAAGCAGTTCATCTCAGGTGGAAGGATAAAAACAGAATCTTAAACAAAAAGCTTATTTATTTAAAAATACTAAATCATTCATCTCCCGCTAGACTTTCATTTCTGAAAGTTTAAAAGAATGGGATGAGGTGGGGAGATGCGGGGAGCCAAAGGGGATTAGAAAATTTGTGGATGGGCCTCCACGGTGGCGCAGCAGTTGAGCGCTGGGTTGCAAAGCTGCCCGCAGCCTCCGCAGCGCCGGTTCGATCCCCGGCTGCTCCCTGGACACCGGAGGAGGGTCCCGCATGGTGCGCAGACCTCTCCTGCTGCCCGCTGCTCCCTCAGCAGTGTACTTCGGTCCTTCTGCCTGCTCTGCTCCCTGCTCTGGCTCTGGTGAATTTTCTCACCCTCCTGTGCTTCTGACTGTACCCAGTGTTTGTATGAATAAATAAATAAGTAAATCTTAAAAACAAAACAAAAGAAAAGAAAACTTGTGGAGAAGGGACTTGGATCTAAAGCTTTTGCAGAAGGTTAACGTTTAACAAATCTGTTCCAGCAGCCAAAGTCAGTGCTGAAAACGCGTCCCAGCCAGAGTTCCTGAGAGGCCAAGCCTGCTGCTGTCACACCCTGGAAAAGACACAGCCAGCACCCCAGGGGAGTGATACCAAGCGGACCCTGTCAACTTAAATCACACACAGTGAAAGCTAAAATCAACAATTAAGTGGTTACCCTCTTCCCTGGTCTCAAAGAAGGGGTGCAGTCAAAGATCCCGGGCAGAGTTGCACTGGCCTTGGGAAGAAACTGCTCCAGCAACACCAACAAAGAAGTCTCTGGGCAAATAAACTCCCAGGTCCCAGAGATAAGACACTAAACAGCCGTGAATCCTAACAACCTCTTTGTTTTCCTCAATGCACTGACACCATCCGAGAGATACAGTAACCTGACACCTCCCTGGGCTTTCTCTGTGAAAATCCTTAAAAATGTAAAGTGCTTTCCTAGTAGACTGTGTAAGAGCCACCCGGTGGGGCTCGGCCTTCCCAGAGTCTCTGGAGGGTAATCCCTCAGTCTTGACTCTCATAAACTCACTCAGCTTTTGCCTCGAGGTACTGGAGCCACCTTTCACCTCCAAATTATTTCCGGACCCGAACCCGACACCACATTTCTCGGCGAACAGGGACTAATCAAGCTGTCGATCTCCTAAAGGGGGGGTGGCCTCGGGAAGACCCTAAACCGGACTGCATAGACCCCAGTCACGGACTGCAGATACGCCGACCACAGATATCCATTACGACCCCACCAGCTCCGCTCCAAAATGAGAAGAAACAACAACAACGCCCACCCTTGCCCTGGCTTCGCGACCCTCAGGAACCACCACCTGGGTGGAGGCCGACAACCCCTTACATCACTTTCTCTACCCACGACCCACACCCTGACCGGATTCACCCCTGAAGCTGCAGCGACCTCGTCAGGGCCTAACTTGTTTCCCTAAATGTCTCTCTTTCAGGGCTTCTCGCCTAGCCCTGTCCCCAGAGCAAGTGCAACGAGGGTCAGCAGCGCTTTTGCCGCCATTTCTATGCACAAGCAAGGACGGGCTTCCGGCTCTTCCTTATGGCGTCATAGTGTGCACCGCCACTCCGGCGCCCTGGGGGCCGCCATCTTGAGATGCTGCTGCCGTCTGGAAGGCGAAGCGCAGGTGTCAGGAGCCAGTGACACTGAGAAGGGTAATTAAAGTAATCCTGGGCACCGCGGTCATTGTGCTACGCTGCCCATCCGAGGCCGTGTAAACTCTCAGGCCGGCCTGACCACAAAGTGAGTGGGGGAGACACTGCAGTGGGACTGTGGGGCGCGGCCATCTTGGAGGAGGTTCGGGCTCCATGCGAGGAACCAACACCCTGGGGCGCTCCGCTGAGAACTGTCAGGTTGAAGTGCTTTTGGAGGAACATCAAGAGTTGGAAAAGTGGGATGGCATGGAGGGCAGAGGGGTGCAGCGACCTCCAAACGAGTAGAAACAATGGACGTTGTGAGCCCCTGCTCCATCATGCCCCTTCCCCAGACCCACGGGAGCGCCTCTGCCCTGTAGATTAGTCTCCATGAACAGCATCTTACTGTAAGCGCTCGCCTGACATCTGTCACGCAGCACGCTTGTTTTGAGAGGCATCCCAGCTTGTAAGTATCAACAGTTGATTCCTTTCAGTCCCTTCGAATGCCATTGTATGGTATTCCAAAGTGAGCGCCATCACTGACCGGCTGATGGGCCTTCACAGGTTTTTGGATATAGCAAATGAAACTTCTGTGAACATATACGTGCAAAAAGTTAAATGACATTTGCCGGTCCTGCCTGCAGGCTGACGGGGTTCAGGAACACGGCAGAGGGGCTGGGGATGAAAAGACGCGTGCACTCTCTTGGCTGGAAGCAGGAACTCTCTTTATTCGAGGGGAGGGGCTATATATCGGAAAGCCTGCACATGCACTTTACGTGGATTTGTACCGTGGATTTGCAACATCCGGTTACTGTTGCATCAGCCTCTGCTTTGGGCGGAAGCGACTCATCCTTGGGTGGAAGCGACCACTACCACAGGTCCCCCTGCTGGTGTGAGCCTGGTACTGACATCTCCCCCGTTTTTACTTTATTGATGGGGGGGACACACACTGGGCCTGTCTTAGGTTGTGGCAGTCGTACTCACGTGCTTACCCATCATAGCCACCCACTACCAGGATCCTAGGTAAGGTAGTGGAGCTGTCTTAGGTTGCTACGGGTACACCACCATCTTACCCATCATTGGCCTACAGGTGGTCAAGGGCAATGTTTATCCACACCCTGGGATTTTCAGTGGTCTATAATGGAGAATAGCGCACATTTTGGAGAGCTACTTGCAGATTTTTCGTCTATTCCACTGGCACCACAGGATGTAGAAAATGATTTCCAGGCAGAAGAGGATTGTACCTAGGAGTGATATTGCTTCCACCAAGGATTTTGTCAGTCCCCAGGCCTTTGAAAGCCAGGGGAGGGCCTGATGAGGATTATATACCAAAGCACGGATGTTGTTAATGGTTAGAATTTGATTAGCCAATTGTGCAGTAAAATTGAGAAAGGTTTGGTTCCATGGGCCGCGCAGGTAGGCATTAAGGGTATGAACTTGAAAGGAATAGTTGAAAAGGATGGCAGGTGTAACACACGTGAAGGCATAGGTAGGAATACAAGGAACATAAGCAGTTAAAGTCAATAAGTCAATTTATTCATGCATTAAGGAAACTTGTGGATTCAACTGGAGTAGTCCAACTGCGAGATGGTTGTTGATGGAATTTTGTGTGAGAAAGGTGCTGGAGACTCTGGAGTAGTCCGACTGGAGATGGCTGTTGATATCTGCGTTGAGTATGAAGTTGGATAGATCTAGGCCGCCAACCACTGTGGCCACAGCTGCCAGAGTCGTGAAGACGGAGATCAAGGTGCCAACAACCAATGCCGGACCTGCTTGTTGATTTCAGATTATTACCTGAGAAGTAGACTCAGACACATTGACAGGCATAATAACGACCTTAGGGAAATGCATGACAACAAAGGAATTGCTGAGGGTTCTGGACCAACAAGAGGAAAGGTGACAGCTACAATTGAGGGAGGATTGATTGTTGAATGATAGATTGAAAGACACTATAGAAGGGAGTCCAGTGGTGGAATTGGTAGACAAGAATGATGGGAGAATAACCCCCTTTCTGGAAACTGGCAGAAGGAAAGGGGGATTATTAACTATTGTCCAATGAATCATGTTGCAAAGGAGGGGGGGTGCTGGGCTGATGGTTGCAGAGCCGCCACCATGATGGTGCCTGTAACGGTAGCCCCATCAATATCCTTACACAAGCATATGTACCCAGAAATATCCTGTTTATCCTTCCATGGGCGAATGGCCTCCTGGCACCATTTGTTAGCATTTTCAAATGCCAATTGTTTGACTAGTATAGCGGTAGGCTCGCCCTCACCCATAATTCGAGAGGCTGCTGTTAGAAGGCGAGCTACAAAGTCAGCAAATGGCTCTGAGTGGCCCTGAAGGATTTTTGTAAGGGATTGGTGAGGCTGTCCCCTGGATCCCGGTGCCTTCCAAGCTGATTTTGCTGCCAAGGCTACTTGCGCAAAAACAGCAGGATTATATAAACATTGTTGCTGATTAGTACTATAATTGGGACCCTCCCCGGTTAACATTTCTTTAGTTTGTTGGGGAAAACCTCTTTGAATATTGGTTTGAGCATACTGGTCACAGAGTTCTGTAAACTGACCCTTCCACAAAAGATAATCCCCCGGGCTCAAAACCGCGTGGAAAGTGCCCTTCCAGTCATTGGGGGTCATAATAAAGGTTTCAAAGGTGTCTAACATTTGGTGAACAAAAGGGCTCTGAAGTCCATAGTCTCTGATAGATTCTTTTAAGAGCTTGAGGTCTCGGAAAGGCAGTGCTGAATGTTGCCGGACCTGCTGTCCCTGATCATTTTGAACAACCGAGACCGGGAAGGCCAGAAGGGATTCCCGAGAATTTTCAGAATTGGAGGGTACAAATCTCGAAAGAACAGAAGTTAGGGACTGTATAAGCCCAGGAAGGTCTGGGTCAGAGCCATGGGAGTTGAGTGGAGGGGCAGAGGGGAGAGTGGTGGGGGTGGGATGCTGCCGATTTTTGGTTGATGGGGGTGGTCTATCATAGGGAGGTGGAGAGTCTGTATTGTCCTCCACATTCCCCTCGTCTGAAGAGGAATCTCCCCCCGGATTTGAGGATTGAGAAGGGGGGTGTTTCTGTGGCTGAGCTTGCTGCGGCTGAGTATGTGGCGGGCTTTTCGATTTCGGACTGAGCTGCAGAGTGCAATACCTCAGCCACTAGTTCATAAGCAGCTGCTCCCCCATCACTAAGGGCATCATGGACTAGCTGCCACACAGAAATAATACGGGGGGGAATAGTTTGGGGTCCGTAAAGGTCCCTGTAAAGAAGGAAGTCTGCTTTGACCTTTTCCCAGTTTCTTACTGAGACGGTGTCCTGCTGAAAGAACCATTTGCTGGTATTTGTGAGGACTGAGTCTAGATCATTAAGGGTCTGAACCTTAATGGGAGTTCCATAATGTTTAAGGAGAAGTTGTAGGGCTCTAACAAGTTGGCCCTGGGACATGGTATTGCCCATGATGCCAATCACTTACCTAATCCTTACCTTACTGATTGATCGGTCCCTCAGAGGATCCCTCGTACTCATGCCCCACGTTTGGGCGCCACTTGCCGGTCCTGCCTGCAGGCCGATGGGGTTCAGGAACACGGCAGAGGGGCTGGGGAAGAAAAGATGCATGCACTCTGTTGGCTGGAAGCAGAAACTCTCTTTATTCGAGGGGAGGGGCTATATATCGGAAAGCCTGCGCATGCATGCGCTTTATGTGGATTTGCAACATCCGGTTACTGTTGCATCAGCCTACGCTTTGGGCGGAAGCGACTCATCCTTGGGCAGAAGCGACCACCACCCCAGGTCCCCCTGCTGGTGTAAGCCTGGTAGTAACAGACATTAAAGAACTGGGTTTCCCATTACACTATGCTCCCTCATCACCTCACCAAGAGGTCAATGCCTGTATCCACTTCTAGCCCTGCTTCAGCTTGTATTCTCTTGCTCCCCCACAGGCCTGCATGGGGGGAGGCGGCGGAGGAGGAACTCGTGATTTTGAATATGCAGCTGTGGCACAGAGGCCACCTTCTCCCACTTTGCTTAGTATATTCAACCCCATAGGCCATTAATTCTCAGAATCACCTGATAGTCAGATAACTGGGGGTAAACAGGAAGTCAAAAATCCCATCCTCTCTGTCATTCCTGTCCTGACTCAATCTCTCACCTGGGTTACTAGAATATTCCCTTTTTACACTCTTGGCCTATTCCAGTTCATCTTCATAGAACAGGTAAGATGATCCTTGTAAAACACAAATTGATAGTGAAACTTTCCTGTTCTCAGTTGTTGAATGACTGCGTCCCGGAACAAGTATCCAGATGGCTAAACCTACGTGATTGAAAATACAAGTTGCAGTGAATTTATCCAATAATCCAGGGTTTGTGATGGAAATGAAAGGCAGCTACTGCAAAGCAAATGTCTATTTCTTCTCTAAGCAGAAATTGGTGTTTATTTTTCCTGCAGGATTTTATTGGATCAAGAGGATCACTCTGGCAGTGAAGGGACAAGAGTCCCACTGAGATTAAGAAGGAAGGATAAGGAAGGTCACATCGGATTAAAAAGGTCACAGAGATGAGATCTTTGAAATAATGGCAACTCTCAAATGTGAGAAGTGTGTGAACAAATACTAGTTCTTCTCCAGAACAGTCCAAGGAGATTAACCTCCTTTCACCTCCTCCATCGTAGACCAAGGTTCTCATGCCTTTTATTTTACTTACCCTGGGGATCCTATTCCTTTGCGCTCCCTCTTTTATACTGATGCAGATATTGAGTCTAAAAACTCTATACAAAAATGTCCTTTGAACAATTTTATTTGCCTCCTAGTTGTTTTAAACGATTTTTTTTAAATTTATGCACAAAAGAGCTAGGGTTTAAGCCAGTGGTGTGGAGGGTGAGAGGAGTCACCAGAGACAGAGTGGGGAACAGAACAGGCAGATCTACTGAAACACACTGCTGAGGGGAGCAACGGGCATGACAGGAGAGGTCTGCTGTGCCATGTGGATCAGCTCTCTGGCCAGAGATGGAACTTGTGCTGTAGTGGCTGAAGATAGCTTCATAGTGTTGAGACTTAAACCCTTGTGCCATCGGGGAGGCCCTAATTGCTCATTTTCTACAATGACAAAATACTGCTTTCTGGTCAAGTAACCTTTATCTTCCAAATCAATGTATGAGTCACTTGTCCTTTGTTGGGAAGAATGTGATTTTTACAAACCCACACCATGAACAGACTGCTCTTTGGTGATGAGTCCTACATCCCCACTGGCCGATAAGGCAGCCATCAGTCACATGTCCTCACCAAACTGGGACACTGAGGCCAGGGATAATGAGACACTAATGGAACTTTAAATCCCACTTTAGTTCATTTATATTTAAATGGCCACATGTAGCTAGTGGCTACTGAATTAGTGAAAAACTATCCAGGAATTCATACTCTCTCTGGGGAAAGAAGATATCGGCATTTTATTGAAAAGTATTTGTGGCCTGAGTTACTTATACATTGTACTAGGAATCCTTTCCCCTCTTCCATTGAAGTAATACTCTTCTTGGGGGAAATGGATTTTTGAATTTTTCTAGCTCTGCCTTCTATTAAATACAAACCCCGTGACCCCGTGACTCCATGTCCATTTCACCTGACGTAGAGAGAGGTTACATGCTCAGTTAGTGGAGTATGAATATATTGATTCCACATAATTCAGCTGATTCTGTTCATTCCAGATGGGTGATGACATCTTTTTCATGAATCACAAGCTGTCAAAAAATACAACTTAAATGCTTAATGCCAGAAATCTCAGTAAAATTTTTTACAGAAATGTAATTTGATCCATATGTATAGTTTTAAATTTTCTAGTGGCACATTGTGAAAAATAATTAAGAAGTGTTGAAATGAATTTCAATCATATATTTAACCCAACATATCCCAAATGTTATTTCCACAAATAATTATTAAAACTGTATTTGCTGTTCAATTTTTAACTAAGTTTGTGGCATCTAGTACACATTCTACACTTAATTTCTGACTAGTCCCATCTCAAGTGCTGAACAATTCCTGACATATGGCTACCCTACTCGATCACTTAGAATTAAGCAGTGCACCCATCTTCTATGGGACATACCTTGTCTTACCTGCCAGAGCAATTTCAGGCAGTCTTAGGAAGAGAGGGTAGATTGAAATTCACCTTCTGAATTCCTTTCCTACATATGAGCATTAGAAATGATGTCCTGGGCCTCCCCTAGTCGTGCAGGCAGTTGAGCACAGCACTGTGAAGCTGTCCTGCAGGCTCTGCAGTGCTGGTTCGATCCCGGCCGGCCGGTGAGGGTCCCACATGGCACAGCAGACCTCTCCTGTCGTGCCCACTGCTCCCCTTAGCAGTGTATTTTGCCATTCTGCTTGTTCTGTTTCCCACTCTGTCTCTGGTGGGTCCTCTCACCCTCCTGCACATCTGGCCTGCACCCCAGTTCTTGTATAAATAAATAAATAAATCTTTAAAAAAGAAAGAAAAAGAAATGATGTCCTGGTGAAGTGTTAGAAGAAAAGTTGTCAATGTTAGTCGGGTTGGTTGCTCTGGAAAGCAGGACTCCCTGGCATTGTAATAACCAGTGAGGGACTTGATTCCCTAGAGAATGTGGGGGTGTGAATTTTCTTCTTTAGACCTTTTGTAATATTTCTAAAGACTAGCCATTCTTTTTAAGATCATCAGACTACACACTTAAGAAAAGGTCTGTGGCACTGTAACTTTATATTCATTAATAAATAGCCATGACCTCAGCCCACTTCACTGTCCTGCTCAGCTGATAGAGTGCCAGGCAAAGGGAGGTATTTGAGAAATATTCACTAGATGAACAGACGGTCAATGTAAGCCTGTTGTTTAGTAGTTGCCCTTGCTTCTACAAAGGCCTAAAAATTAACAATAGAGGTACTTGTTTTCAATTCATTCTTCACAGTCCTTAAGTAATAGAACAGATGATGTGTCTCAAACTCCACTAATCAAATACTGCCTTTTACCACCAGTTCTTATAGTTTTTAATTTCTAGCAACATCCAGATGTGATCATCATCTCTTCATAAATCTCAGACATTCCAAACAAAATTGAACAACATTCAGGGTGCTCCAGATCGCTGTCTCTGCACCAAGCACGTATTTCACACAGGAGGAGTTTAGGACTCCCCAGTGTCTGCCTACACGTGACTTCTCAGTACACACGTGTCAGCTGCGTCATTCCGTCTTGTTCTACATAGTGCCTGGCCCAGGGCAGAAGCTCAAAACAAATGCCGCAGGGAATGACTCACAACCCAGAGCTTGGATTTCGGTCATCAGCCATGGCAAGATTCTTTTTCCCTGATAAAGCAGGACTTGATTTTTAAGCTGGACATAACCTTTATTGGATTAAGGGAATGCACTTGAGGCATAGGAGAGGACAAGGGACCCACATCCAGGAGAGCAGAGCAGGAATGATGATGCTGAGTCCCATGTCTCCATTCATCATGTCGCACAGGAAGCAGGAGCTTTGAGATGGTGACAACATTAGACCTGGGGTCACACATAAGGGCACACAGAGACATTCAGGGGGCGCTCACCATCACACACTTCACACGCTCACCTCCACTTTTAGAGTGAGGGTATTTTCTTCCACTAATGAGGTTTATCCATTAGGTTTATCCATTATCCAGCAAGTGGTGCCCAAAGTGGGCACATAAGGAAAATTTTCTCTCATTCAGGGACAGCTATGAGTTCATGGATGGTCCGGGACCTGGAATGCAAGGACAGAGCCTAGCGTTCCACAAAAGCTCTTCTAGTCACTGCATCCACGCAATTTTGCTCAGTAGACACTTGTTGGCCATACAAGGAGTTAGAGGTTTTATTCAAGGGTTGTCCACTTTGACTATCACCATGTATTCCTGATCACTGAAGGCACTGCCACACTCACTGCATCCAGCAGGTTTCTCTTCTGTGCAAATTCTGTTACCTGCTGACAGTGCACACCTGACCGGCAGCTGGCCCGCGACAGCTGTGTTCTCCTCTGCCGGGAACCTGCTGATGTGTGATGTCTGGGCTGCCACTGTGGGTGTCTTCACGGCCACCACAGCAGAGTCCTTCTTCTCTATGCCATCACTTGAATGTGATGAGTTGTGACTCTTAGAGAAAGGATTTTCCAACTTGTCTGAGCCTATACATTTCTCTCTGGCATGCAGCATTCTCATATGGTAAACCAGGCATGACAAGTGAGAAAACGCTTTCCCACAGTCAGAGCACCTGTAGGGTCTCTCTCCTGTGTGGGTTCTCCGATGTCTGTTGAGGCATGACTTATCTCTGAATGCTTTCCCACAGTCACTGCAGTGATAGGGTTTCTCTCCTGTGTGAATTCTCTGATGGTTAATGAGGCCAGACTCTTGCAAACAGGATTTTCCACATTCAGTGCATATGAAGGGCATCTTTCCAGTGTGAAATCTCTGATGTGATTTGAGGCATGTTTTCTGGCTGAAGCCTTTCCCACATTTGGTACATACATAAGGTTTCTCTCCAGTATGAATGTGTCAATGTATGAGGAGATTACCCTTCTGGATGAAGCCCTTCCCACATTCATGGCATAGATAAGGCTTCTCTGCAGTGTGAGTTCGCTGATGGACAATGAGATTGCCCTTCTGATTGAAGCCTTTTCCACAGTCATTGCATATGTACGACTTCTCTCCCGTATGAGTTTTCTGATGTGCGTTGAGCTGTGATTTCCATTGAAACACCTTGTCACAGTCACTGCATCCATAAGGTTTCTCTCTGATATGAGTTCTCTGATGTTCAGTGAGTCTGGACTTCCTGGAGAAGGCTTGGTCACAGAGACTGCATCCGTGAGGTTTCTCTCCTGTGTGAACTCTCTCATGATTAACAAGTCGAGACTTCTTGATGAAGCCTTTTCCACATTCATTGCATACACAGGGTTTCTCTCCTGTGTGCATTTTCTGATGAGTAAGTAGCTGTGACTTCTTGGGGAAGGCTCTGTCACAGTCAGAGCAGTTGTACTGTTTCTCCCTTAAATGGGTTTTCTGATGTTCAGTCAGCCTGGACTTTCTGGAGAAAGCTTTCCCACACTTACCACAGACATGAGGTCTCTCCCCTGTGTGAACTCTCTCATGATCAATGAGATGAGACTTCTTGAGGAAGGCTTTCATACACTCCTTGCATACGTGGGGCTTAGCTGTCTGCTGAGTTCTTTGATGCTTAACCAATTGTGAATTTGTGTTCACAGTACTTCCACACTCAGGAAACTTAACTTCAGTGTGAAATGGCTCATGCTTTGCATTAAAGGATTTTGCATCTCCGTTAATCTCAACCGAGATTTTTATGTCACAGTTTCTGTTCCGGTTTGCTAAACTGAAATTTGATTTCATTGTATTTCCATGTATGTCAAATATATGATGATTTAGCTTGAAAGGAAAATTACTTTTATTCCGATGAACAACATTTCCCAATGTAGTATGTTTAGGGCATTATTCTATTCTCTTTGGACATCTTTGATGTTGCAAGCATCCCTGTAGGTGACCGTTAACTTTCTTGATACCTAGGAAAGAAGGAAATAAAGACTCCGTGAGCTTGGTAGAAAGGAAATAAAGACTCCGTGAGCTTGGTAGAAAATAAAACTACTTCACAAATGTCTTTATGCAGGCTGGCTCATTACCAACAACACTATGGCCTCAGTTTAAAGAAAATCCAAGTAGATATGTTTGTTACCACTTAGACAAGGATAAAAGGCAATAACACAGATAAAGAAAACAAAAGATAAAAAGTCAGTGTATAAACAAGGGTCTAGCATTCAAAATGAATATGTATAGATTTGGCTGCTTTCTAAGTCTGACCTTGGAAACCATGCTGAGATAGTAAAATAAAATCAAGATACTGTTAGTTCCAGGCCAAGGATAGAGGGATATTTGTTTCAACACATTCATATAGCCACAAATCCTTGTTAAAGCATGACTGTACTGTTGATGAAGCCATAGAGACATACTCCTTGTTTTCACTGAGTATATGGTCCAGTTAGGGAGAGCCGGATGAGAAAGCAACAATAAAGCAGACACACATTGTGAAAAGTGGTTTGTGGGAGCACTGAAGAACAAGGTAGAGAAAATCAGAGCGTAATCTGGAGAGAGAACACACAGGATCACTCATGACTTCAACGTTGGGGAACAATTAATAAGTGTCAAGTTTCATTCCTAATTATTTGACTTGGGCCACTGGTTAGCTTGCCTTTCAGTGAGATGGGGCCTATTATTGTGTATTGGAATGTGAGCAGATGAAGTATGCATTTAAGAGTCTATCAACCTCCAGATGGGTCTCACATGTCCAACAGAAACATGAAGAACTCAGCTGGATATGTAAGTCTTGAGAAAGCTCTTAACTGAGATAACAATATGAAAATCATTACCAAGGAAATATTACAGGGGAGTGGATAAGGCCATATTTGGAAAAATGTGACTGAATAAAGGAGTTCTGGACCAAATTTATAGCTACTGTAACTAACATGAAGAGTTCAGCTTTAAAAAATCCACTGGAAGCACCAGATACCAGTGGCGAGACAGGATAGCTGAGGAAGTTCTCTGCCATTAATGAAGACTCGGGTCAAAATGAATTTGCAGCAGGGGGAGGCTGGGGAGAGCCATCGAGAGCAGCTCTGCCTCTCACCCTCCCAGCCCCAGTTTTTAATCAAAAGTCTGAACAAAAGAACAAGAAAATAGCTCGCAATTGTGTTTTAGCTTATGCAGATGAATAAGTTACTGCTGAAAATAAGCTTTCCTGGTTAGTAGGGAACATGTGCAGAAGCCAGCACATCCTCAGAGAACAGGAGTCAGCTCTGGGAAGAAGTTCTGCTTGCAGAACTTCTAACATCCTGGGACTCCATATGCAGAGTGAATGGGTGCTCTCCAAAGACCTTTGCATTATGCATAATGCAGCTCCCATCTTACCAGCCCTGCTCTGAGGGAGATAAGCAGACACAGGTATCAGGAACTATTATCCCAAAGAGGTTTCACGACTAAGGCCCACCTGACTCCACCACTGGCAGCTGCTGATTAACTGAATTTGTGCCATTCCCCACTCAGAGTGGTGGCACTGCAAAACCCAATCTGACCAATCGGTTGGTTTCCATGACAACCAACACTCAATCTGAAGCATCCAGCCCTGCGGCCCTGTCTCATCAGCACACAGAGGCTCTCATCACTCCTGGAGAATGCAAGGGTGGAGCTCTCTTGTCAAGAACTGGAAACCAAAGCCAAACATGACACAACAGGCTCCTGTCACCCCTACACTCAGGAAACTCCAACGGATTTGGGGGCTCCATGCCAGGAACATAGAGGTCAAGTGTCACACTAGGGGAGTGGCATCTTGTCTGCCACTTTGAACTTGTATACGTGCAACAGCTGAACTGTTCACATTTCAGTTCATGATCCCCAAACCCTAATATGATCTTCCTTTAAGAGCCCACACACACAGTTTCTCCCCCTTCTCCATGGGGGTCTTGCCTTCCGTGGACTCAGTTACCTGCTGCCCTAGTGATGAGAGGGCAACAGCAGTCTAAAGAATTACAATAAAATATTATCAGAGCGGCTACATGCACCTAACCTTTATTGCAATAGATGGCTGCAACTTTCTGTCTTATTACCCAAAGGGGCGAGCAGGTGCCATGGCCAGGAGTCAGGGCTGCAGTCAAGCATGTCTGCTTGGAGAGCAGCAGTGAGGTGGAAGCACATGGCAAGGGAAGCAGAAGGGAGAGCAGCGACAGTGTGATGGCAGGCAGAGAATGGGCAGACCGGAGCATTCCAGGAACCCAGAGTGCAGGGAGGAATCAAGCCCTGGCTGAGACACATAGGGATGGACTCCCAAGAAGAGAGAGGGTCCTCGAAGCATCCGGGAGAAACAGAGCTCCACTCGGGCTGATCCCAGGAGGCTCTGCTTACTCATGCTCAGACACCCTCACCGGTGGGACATCCCAGAATCACGACCGCCTGGCGGGTCCTCACGCCCCTGGACGCACCCAAGTGGGCCCTTCCGCATCCACTGTCCATGGCCATCGTCACATCAGTGTGGAGAGTGCCTGCAGCTCGCTGACTTGAAACCTTGTGCGCAGGAAATGGCAGCAGAGTCAGGCTCACCCAGTGGGCGCCAGCACCGGCACATCCTGCTGCAGAGCTGGGCACTGGGCAGAGCCGCATTGCCGATGCCTGGTTCCATGGTGCATGACTTTACCGCAGTGCTGCACAGAGTGAGTGCTCTGAGTCACGGGGACCCCACAGGTGCAGACCTGTTGGCCCCATTTTCCCAACGGTATGGGTTCACTTCGCATCTCTGTCACCTTTAGGTGACTCTTGCGATGTTTCAGACTTTTCTGAAACTTTTCTGCTGTGATCAGTGACTGTTTGGGGGACCCACTGACCACGGAAGACAACGCACTTCATGAATAGATGTGCAGTGCTGACGCTCCAGTGTCCGGCAGTCCCTTCATGTCCCGCCCTGTCCCAGGGACACACCATGTTGACAAGAGTCCAGTGATTAAGTCCACAGTGAAAGGTGGAGTCGGGTAACCCTCACATTAAATTCCAAGTTCTTAGCAAAGCAGGGAGACAAAGAAGTTGAGCCAAAAGCTGAGTGGCTGAAAGCCAGGCCTCACAGGCCTATCAGTTCACCAAGCTCTGAATGCAAAGGAATGACCCTTGAAGGGAACTGGAAGTTGCTCCAGTGAACACAGGAATGGTAAGAAAGTGAAACAGCCTCGCTGCTGGTAAGGAGGAATGTCTGAGTGGACCAGACAGAAGATCAAACCAGCCAAAATTTCCAAAGCTTGATCCAGAGCAAACCCCAATTCTCTTCGATTCTATGATACTGGGCAAAGGGAGAAAGCTGCAGAAGAAAAATGTGAGGCCAACGGAGGTTGGTGAGGGAAGGAAGCCCTTCTCACAGAAAAGAGCAGGGGGGAGCAGCAAGGGCCCAGGCAGGAGCTACAGCAACTTGTCCAGAAGGTGGGCTGAAGAGGTGGCCACGCAAACACCAAGTTTTCAAGCAGACACACGATTTTATAGTGGAAGAACCACCACTAGGACTTTGATAGCTGGAGAGGAGAAGTCAAAGACTGGTTCAAAGGCATCAAAGGACAGGCTGACTTCCTAGGGGCTAATGCAGATGTGATTGTAAATTGAAGCCAAAGCTCAATGACCATTCCAAAACATGTCAGGAACAAAAATTAAAAAGTAACAATAACAATCTTGCCTGGGCCTTAAAAATGTTACAGATACTCTGCTTACATTCTAGAAACAGAGCAGCAAAGTCCAGATGGCAGCACAACTGTTCACAAAACAGTTAACTGAATATTTGATGCACGCGATGGAGACCTACTGCTCAGGAAAAAAAAAAAAAGAATCCTCTCAAAATAGTACTATTCACTGTCAATGCACCTGATCACCCAAGGACTCTGATGGAGGGACAGGAAAGGAATACTGTCTTCATGCTGTTCACATGATATTCACTCTGCAACAAATGGATCAAGAAGTCATTTCAACTGTCAAGTCTCATTATTAAGAAACATGCTTTGTCAGGTTATAGCTGTTCCCGAGAGTGATTCCTGATGGATCTGGGCAAAGTCAATCGAAAACTTTCTGGGAATGATTCACCATTGTAGATGCATTAAGGACATTTGTGATTCAAGGCAAGAGGTCAAAATAACAGTATTCCCAGGTGTTTGGAAGAAGTTGATTTCAACCCACAAGGATGATATCGAGAGCTTCAAGACTGCAGAGGAAGGAGGAAGGAAGCAGATGGATGGAAATAGCAAGAGACCTAGAATCAGAAGTGCAGTTGGAAGGCATGACTGACTAGCTACCATCTCATGATAAAACTTGAACAAGAATGAAGATGTGCTTCTTATGGATGCACAAACAAAGTTATTTCTCGAGCTTAAAACTGTTCCTGGTGAGCCAGGGCCATCTCTCACCAGAAACAGTTGTGTGCATCAAATATTCAGTTAATTGTTTTGTGAACAGTTGTGCTACCATCTGGGCTTTGCTGTTCTGTTTCTAGAACATAGGCAGAGTAGCTGTTGAAATGGTGGCAGAGGGTCTAGACTGTGACGTGAACTTACGACAAAGCAGGGCCAGGGGCCGAGAGGACTGACTCCAGTTTTGAAAGCAGCTCTGTGGTTGGAATGCGATCAAGCAGGTTGCCTGAGAAACCTTCCATGAAGGGAAGAGTCCTCCAGTGCAGCAAACCTCACTGTTGTCTTATTTTAAATAACCGCCAGTCACCACTGAGCACTGTCAGCACCAAGGGAAGACCCTCCACCAGTGAAAAGAGTCTGACTTGTGGAAAGCTCAGGTGATAGTAAGCAATTTTTAGCAATAATGTATTTTAAATGAAGAGTTATACTATCTTTTAGATGTAACCAAAAATATCAGTGTAACCTGCACATGTACTACAAAACCCACTTCAAGGCTACTTTTACTCCATGGTGATGGTCTGGACCTGAACCTGTGGGGTCTCAGGTGGTCTGGAAAGGATTTTATTGCCAGAAAGGAGATATTATGTTCTAAGCCAGGGCCATGGAGGGGCCTGAGAATCTCCCCCCTCTTGTACCACACATTCCAGGGCTTTCACCAGCTGAGCAGGAAAGGCCCCTACCAGGCCCTCAGGCCATTGGCCCATCCTCACCCATGGACACCAGGTGGTTGTAGTTCTCCAGCATCACCTCCTCGTACAGGGCCTTCTTCACGGGGGCCAGGAGCCGCCACTCCTCCCGGGTGAAGCACACGGCCACATCCTCCAGGGTCAGCAGGCCCTGTAGGAACACAGTCCCATTTCAGATGGGTGTTTCTCTGGTTATGAGTAGAAGGAACGTGGAGGAAGTTGTTCTGCTCATTTTCACCATGGAAGTTACCCCCTATACCCAGGGGTGTTGGTTTGTTAAAAACACATTGTTATAGGAAGGAAATCTATCTCTGTTCCAAAATCCAGCTCTATTTCTTTTTCTTTTTTTTTTAAGATTTATTTATTCATACATACAAGAACCAGGGTATAGGCCAGATGCATGGGAGGGTGAGAGGATTCACCAGAGATAGAGCTGGGAACAGAATAGGCAGATTGACGATACACTGCTGAGGGGAGCACCGGGCGAGACAGGAAAGGTCTGCCGTGTCATGTGGGAGCCTCGCTGGCCCACCGGGATTAAACCAGTGCTGCAGAGGCTGCAGACAGCTTCACAGCACTGCACTTAACCAGTTGCTCCACCTGGGGAGGCCCAAAATCCAGTTATAACTAAATATTCTGTGACTGTGCAGTCAATCCTCATTCAAAACACCAGAAGTTTATGTAAGTAACCATGCATAAATAAATAAATCTTTAAAAGAAAAAAAGTTCCTGTGACCTTAGACTTGAGACATTCTCTGAGGAAGTGGCCCGGACTTATGACAATTCTCTGAGGAAGTGGCCTGCTTTGTTCTCAGAATCAGAGGCCATCATGACCACCTGGATGGCATGGCTGTCAGAGATTACTGGCTATTACCCAAAAGGCAGTGGGGGAACAGCTTATGGAGGGGAGGGTGGGGGCCTCCAGGGATACATTATGCCCCACCCTAGCCACCCCATCATGTGGCTTCCAGGAACAACATACTCCTCATCTTACAATGTTGAAGTCAGAGTCTCAACTTCCTTCTGCACATATCCTGCTTTCCCAATGGGTACCTTTTCTATTCCATTGTCTGACAAAGCCTCACCCCCCCCCCAGGAAATCAGCCAGGAAAGGAAGGAAAGAATAAAATAATGTCAAAATAAAATAAAGATTAAAATAAAGTCACCTGGTCCTTGATCATTTTCTTCTCTTGCTGGGAGTGGCCAGTACCCTCGATGCTGTGATTTAAGTCTCTTCTCAAACTGCTCCCGGCAATTTCTGGCTAGGAACCTTAGTCTCCCACCTGGGGTACTCCTGGAAGACATACAGGTCACTGTTGCCTCCTCACTTCTCTTGACATAGTCGCTCCTGCAGCCGGGACCTGGGGGCGGAAGGAGGATAGCATTCCTTTAGCGAGCACTGTCCCTCAGTGCCCGGATGCCGTCACTCCCTGGGGCTCATGTCCACCTTTGACAGTCCCTCCCTTTGGTGTCCAGAGGCTACTTGACTGGGGAGTATTTAAAACACGCCCGTGAGATTCCAAATGTGTGGGCACAATCAGACACATGCACTTTTTTTTTTGGTCGATATGTATATATTTTTTTTAAATAACAAATTTTATTTTTATATTCCCCATACAATTGCAGCCCCCCCATTCTGGCCCCAATCCCTCCCCTCCCACCCCCGCCCCCAAAAAGTGTCTCTGGTTCATAGTTTTTTGTTGATTTTGATTTTCACTTTCTTATAGTTATTCATTTTCCTGGTCCCTTATTTAAGTTTTCTAGATTCCTGCTATGACGCATGCACTTTAAAAGAACACAGTAGCAACGCATCTGGGTGTTTCTCTGCTTTTAAGTCCAGCCGCGCCCCCTGCACTGGTGCGGTGTCCTTGCACACCCATGTGCACACACAGCTCGGTCACAGACGGCACAGCAGAGGCCCGTCTCCTTGGCAGCTGCCTGCCCGGCTGACTCTGGCAGGTGTTCAGTCACTGATTCCGACTCCAGCAGGATCGGAAACCCAGGCGTCAGCTGTGCTGTCAGGAGCATGCGTGGCAGGGCCAGCATGGCTGCACCCTGAGGTGGCCTGCCCCCCAACCCCGGGATGCGGCCGGCGCTGCCCCCGTGCGGCCTGGCCACCACCCCGGGAAGGAGACTTGGTTCCTGTCATTACTCCCGAGTTTCAACCCCAGCATTGCGGGGTCGCGGGGTCGCAGCATCGTGGGGTTGGGGGCGGGAGGCCGCTCACTCAGGCCTATTCGCTGAACTTCCAGATAAGACGTCAAAAAGGAAAAAGAAAACGTGCTGTGGCCACACGATGCAGCATCGTGCAGGTGGACAGAAGCACGAACTGACGGCAGCTCCTGCACAGACAAACCTCAACAACCCGGCATGAAAGGATAAAAGGCAGCCACGAGAGACCACCTATTACAGGACCAATTTATAGCAAACGTCCGGAACAGGAGCTTGTCCGAGAAGGGAATCATGGCTACATGAGGGGTGGTGGGGGGGTTCTTTTGGAGGTGAGGGGGAGGCCCTGAAATTGCCTGTGCCAAGTCAT